TGAAGGCCAGCCTCAAGAGTCAAAAGACATGGGGATTGCCAACGGTTCACATCACGACGTACAGCACCCCGGATGCACTCCCTCAGGAGCTCTTCGACCGAGCCTTCAGTGAAGACAAACCAGCTGGCTTCCAGGCCACAGTGATGGGACGCCTGGGACCCCTTCGAAAGTCCAGCCTGGCCATAAGGGAGGAAAGCTCCGGAAGCGCCGGGCCGGGGCCGTTCATGCTGACGCTTCCCGGCACAAGGCCCAACCCGCAGGTCATGAACACGGCCATGATGAACCCCATGATGCACACCATGATGAACTCCTTCATGGGAGGTTTCACGCCAAACCTTCAGAGTATCTGGCCATAAGGAGATTGTTGTATTCAGTTTTCGTTCATTGAATGTGGTATACATAGAAAAGGCTTTATAAAGTTTAGGGGATATATTCCTTAAACAGGTATGCAGCAGATGATGCAGTATTACGGGGGAATGAATGCCTTCACGAACCCCACACCGCAGCCCACGAAAAGACCGATGTTGGCTCTATCCGACGATGGCAGCCCAAATCGGACAGTGGAGAGTGGGAGTCCTGCTTCCGCAGTGGCACCTATAGTGACTCCCCCACGTGCTTCAACTATGCCGGCCTCTGCAGCAGAGCAGCTGCCACCGTTGTCGCCATCGGAACAGGCCAATGCGATGATGGCGGCTTGGAACGCCAAAGCGGATCAGAAAAGGGATGAGCAAATGGGTGACGATGACGAGGATACGGGGGCCGATGACGTCATGAAGAGGCCATGCATGAAGCGACCCGCGGCCAATGGCATCGGTGGCGGTCATGATCTCCCCAACACAAAGCCGAAGTCCAAGGCGAAATCCCAGCCCAAGTCCAAGGCCAAATCCCAGCCGAAGTCCAAGGCAGGCAGCAAGCCGAAGCACGATGTCACCAAGTTGAGCCAGAGCCAACGGTTGAGACTTCGTCCGAACGGATGCAGCAAGTGCAGGTGGCGACCCGGATGCTGTAATTCCTGCTGGAAGTAGGTGGCAAGCATGTCCGGGCTTATAAATGGATTAAAGACTTTCGGCTTCAAAGCGAATTGCTGCTGTCGGATCACGTTGATTGGAAGCTGTGTGCAAAATTATAGACATGCATGTGCCATGCACATGCACGCCATTCTGTGCCAGCATGCCTGCCTGCAGCACCGGAATCCTCAGCCGAGCCGTGCATGATGGTGGCAAGCATGTTGTCGTGCTTAAGTTTTCGCCGGCTCAGACATCATGTTCACTAACATGAATCATGATTGCATGCATGCATGCACGACATACACCGTCGCAGGATTGCTATGATAAAAGGACCTTCGAACGATTGCATATAAATTTCGCACAGCAGGGCCTTGTGCTCGCGTGCAGGTCATGCACCTGTGCATGTGTGCATGACTTCTTCAAGCAAACCAGCCACACGTGCCTTGGCCGGGTTGGGTCGGGCCACATATGTGTCCCAGCGTGGGGTGGAGCACGTGCTGCAGGAGTTGCATGCGGCTGGGCTTTTGGATGCTGCAGTGGCGACCTCTCGCAGCTCTGTGAAAAGAGCCCGTGATGATGAGTCAGGATCTTGGTCCAACTCGTATGGGCATATGATTCAGCACGTCGAAGTGCCTTTGGAGGGCAACCCCAGCAAAACCTGCAGTGTACCATTCATACCTCCATCGGTTCTTCTGGCCCACTGTGCACAACAAGAGCCGTTCGCTTCTTTCTTGAAGGAGAGACTGCAGTCCAAGCCATGTTCCCACTCACAGCCGTGGAATATTATAACCTACAACGACGAAATAACGCCCGGCAACACCTTGAAGGTGGTCAACCTTCGCCGGACACAGGCCATATACTGGTCGGTGTTGGAGTGGGGGCATAGATCTCTTTCCAGCGAATCCATGTGGTTTCCACTCACAGCCTTGAGGAGCAATGTATGCCAGAAGCTTGGAGGATTAACGGTGATCCTGAAATACATGCTCAGGACCTTTGTGCAGCCGCACGATTTTCGAGCTGGCATTCATGTTCGCCCGTGCAACCAGCCGCACATTGTCTTTGGCAGGCTGGGTGTCTTGGTTGCTGACGAGTCAGCCTTAAAACATTCCATGGAGAACAAAGGAGCGTCTGGCAGCCTGTTTTGCGTTCGGTGCACCAATATCATCGGCCACAAGAATGCTGTGGCCGACTTTTCCAACGACTTCGTCCTCTCCACATGTGTTGATAGTGCACAGTTCCGATTACATACCAATGCCAGCACCCGGCAGCTGTTGGAGTACCTTCGAGATGCTGAGCAGAGCATGAGCTGTGCTGCTTTCGCCAAGCTGCAGACATCAGTGGGATTCAACTTCAAATCTTCCGGACTTCTCATGGACGACATGATTGGATACGACATCCCGGAAACAGTCATGTATGACTGGTTTCACATTTATTTAGTACACGGAGTTTGTAACATCGAATGCGGCCTCGTCCTCGGCGGTCTCAGGGATGCTGGGTTTCCGGAAAGTGACATCACAGAGTTCTTGCAGAGTTTCAATTGGCCNNTTCAAGCCGCCAGAGAAAAGAAAACTTCACCGTTAAAGGCCTCGGCATCAGAGCTTTTGAACTTCGTGCCAGTGCTCCGCCTGTTTGTTTTATTGTTTGTATGTGGACGTGTGGACTCCGCCACAGAGTGCAAAGTTCATTCCTTCCTGTTGCTGGTCCAAGTGCTGGATTTGCTGCAGATCGTGGCGAGAGGCGGCAGCACCACGGCAGCAGAGTTGGGAGCAGCGATTCGAAAGCATTTAGAATGCCACTTGAAAGCCCACGGCGACGAATCATGGATACCCAAAATGCATATGTCGCTCCACTTGGCAGAATTCCTCCAACGTTTTGGGACTCTCATCAGCTGTTTTGTGCATGAGAGGAAGCACAAACTCATAAAAAGGTTTGCTTCCCAGAAGCAGGATACTACAAAGAAATACGAAGAATCCCTGCTACAAGACATCATGGCGGTACAGCTTCAAGCGCTGAAGCAGGACATGCCATCCACTGAAGTTCGCCTGCTGCACAAAGCGAAGGCAACTAAGAAGCTGCATGAGCTGATGCATGAGACCTTGCAGTGCGGTGGTGGTGAGTGTTTTCACGCACTTCGTGCAGTGCATGGTGGCGGTTTCGAGTGCAGCAGGGGCGATGTCGTCGAATTTTCATGCATGGGCACGAGCTCTTTCGGCCGCATCCAGTTCCATGCCGAGATGATGGATCGGCCCATGACCTGCATCGTCCCATGGAGTCATGTGCATGACTGGGCATACACGGTGACGGAGAGTGCTCAGCCTGTCCTTGTGGACACGGGTGCAATCAAGGGATGCTGCTTGTGGAGCCAGAAAGACACCAGTGCATTGGTCATTCGGGCATAAAAAACAGAGTGCGAAACATGTCATGACACATTCGTCGTGAGCCTGCTTGCGAGCAATGTGCCCTGCAAGCGACTATTTTTCGTTCTTGTGTCTGTGCATTCTGTCGTGACCCCCTCGCAGGTGCCAATGCCATCGACGGCGGATGCACGCGACTGCTGCACTGTTCATGGGTATACTTCAGCATTTGGGTGAATGGATTTTTGGCATATCAGCCCTCACTATATGTGCAATCGACATACACATCTATCTCATTTTTTGGATGTTATAACTTGGCTATCGGACTTATATAATCTCTGTAAACGACTTATTTAATCTCTATAATCTACTTACACAAGTCCTCTAAGTGCATTTATACAAGCCTTGTAACTCAACTTAAATAAGTGGCACAATCCCCGAGGCAAGTCCTATAACCAGGACAAGTACTTACTAACCGACGCGAACCTTCAAG